ATCCTTTGTGCCACCATGGAAACCCTCCATGAGTCCATAATTATGGTGTAACATTTCAGGTATGAGTAACTGGCTCTAAAGATATTTGTGCACCCACAGACTTTATGGACATGCCCTTGTGAAACCAGAGATCAGAGATAAAAAGAGCAAAGGGAATATTTGCCTGAGAAAGATGACTAGAGAACGACTGAGGCTATAAGCCCGGACTGGAGTCTTTTATTCTGGATTTAATGAAAATTCTTTTAAAAATATTTCATAGTGCCTGGGACTAGGGACTAGAGCTTCATAGGGATGGGGATAAGGGAAGTAAACCTAGAATACTCCTAACTTCTGGGAGCAAGAAATTTTCTGAAGGATGGCAGACTTAGGTGGCCTGTGATTTTACAGGTTCTTGCAAGTGGTAGGGCACAGATGGAAAAGCTGGCTCAATGTCATCTACCAAGGGGCAGACACTCAATCAGGACATTACTCTGACCACAAGACCAGACACCCCCCCACACACACACACACCTACCCAGATTTAAACCTAAATAATTGAAAAGCAATGCTCCATGAGATTTTTTCAAAGATCTCCACCCAGTTCAATACAAGTACCTTGCTTTCTCTTCTCCCCCCCACCACACCTAGTGTTTCCCCTCTTCTTCCCCCCCACTTCTGCCTCTCTCTGCCTTCTCTTTCCTGGTCCCTTGTTCTCTCCTCTTCTCATTCCAACCTTGGAGCAACCGGGCTGTCCTCTCTTCTGTGTCCTATGTCCCCGCTGTGATTTTTAATGAAATATATTTCAGGAAGCCTATTGATTGGCTCCATGACAAGCACATAATTTATAGGAGCAGCTGGGCCCTCCCCAGCACAGGGCAATCCTTTCACTTTTTCTCAGTATGCTCTTTTCCCACTCCCACTCCACCATAGCCTTCTCTCCCTCTCCCCCTTCACTGGAGGACATTAGCTGTGAATTCCTTAGACTTTGTCCTTCTATTTCTTTATCCTGTCTTCTTCTTGGGGGAATAGAAGGGTCTTTTCCTAAGGTGTTATCTTAGAAGTGATCACATCTTAATTATTATACTTAAGGGAATTGTCTAAGAAATTCTTCTCTCTCTTATCTAAGGGTTTCGTTGTCCCTTACCTGCAAAATCTTAACATTGTCCTGCCCTTCAAATTAGGTTTAGCATTTGTAGTATTGTTTAATCAAATCTCATGTTTCTTGGTCTCAACTTTGAAGTTGAGGATTTTATATTTTATGCTTATAAGTTTCTTATCCTTGCAGCCAGCCTTTGATTAGAATCTTTTCAATGATATTTCCATCCTCAAAGATTGTTAGATTTTCTGTGACTCTAAGAGAAGAGAAGAGATTCCCTAACAATGGCTATGAAAACCTTTGTAAACACAGGAAGGGCAACCTTTTGAGTCTGAGGCCCAACAGATCTGAATTCTCCATTAATGTCTGTCCTCAGATCATCTATATATTGTTGGCTATTATTTAAAATCCTAAGTAGAGAAGTAGAACACTTGGGAAGCTTCTGAAATACTTTTTGACTATTATTAGTACCTTCAAGATCCGGCTCCAAATTATCTCTTAGTAGAAGGCTTCTGGGAATCACCCTTTCTATGTTCAATCTGCAATGGCCACTAAAACTTAATTTTCCCTACCGCTGTCCTGTACTTGTGTGTATTTCATCATAGAATAGTGGTGAAGTGTATGGGGCTGTGGGGAAAGATGGCTGAAATTTAAACCTCAGTTTCTACTGTGTGACAAAGCACAAGTTACTTAACCTCTCTGACTTTGTTTCACCACTTAAAAAACAGGGATACAATTATCAATTAGAGAAAATTTTTAAGAATTCAAACTCAAGATAATTCTTGTTAGGTGTGTATAGTGCTGACTATAAGAAAGGCTTATTATGTTGTTGTACTTTGCATTTCCAATGAAATTATAAATCCCTTGAAGTCAGGCATTCACATTAATCAAATACAAAGCAAATTTATACAAAATTTTGAGGTAAGTCACTTAAAGATATGGAGCATATTTGCATATTATTTTCATACCTTTAAGGCATTTATAATTGGTATTAAAGAATCAATAACTATGAACATGTTCTTGGGTTTTAGACTATTTTTTCCTTCATTAAACCTAGTTCAGTGCATTACAAATAAAGTCAACAAACAATAATTTGAATATATATAAATTATCCCAAGACACAAGTTTTGATTAAAATATAACTTAAACATATTGTAAATATGTAGTTTGATATGATGAATGTAAAAGCAGTATTTGCAATACTTACGTAACTGGTGCACTTAGGACGGCTATCTCCTCCAAATTCCTAGTCAAGTGTCAAGTTTTCTGAAAGTACTGAATGGTATTTGGACTAACTACCTTTTTTTTTTTTTAAGATTTATTTGACAGAGAGACAGAGAGGGAACACAAAAGCAGGGGGGTAGTGGGAGAAGGAGAAGCAAAAGCAGGCTTTCCGCAGAGCAGGGAGCCCGATGAGCGCCCAATGTGGGGCCCGATTCCACTGGGATCATGATGTGAGCCTAAGGCAGAGGTTTAATGACTGAGCCACCCAGGTGCCCCTGGACTAACTACCTTTTAAAACACACTGAATTAACACATTTGGAACAGACTTTAAGTGAGGTCACATATTGCTTATGTTGCAAATGAAAAATGCAAAGGAGTGCCTTAGGACCTATTGAGTACCAATGAAATTCTTAATGGTTTCCTTTGCTCCTCTCTTAATAGACTATCATACCGGTTAGTACCATTCTAATCAAACCAGATGAAAATGTTCCATGTTAAGCCTCAGAATTATAGAACGCCATACTTTGGAGATTGGAGTGAAAAAATAAAAGATAATAAAACCCACCTCCCTCATTTTATAGATGAGAAAACATTCCTTTCAATTAACTGTTTTCAAAACAATATTCATGCCCTTTTGAGTTATCTACTCTAGTCTTATTTTCATGCTGTTAAATTGACCACAACTCAAAATACCAGTGTGCTCATGATGTCATGCGTTTGAGTAGGGTCCTTTCTCTATGTGTTCCTCTAAAGGACCCTCTGAGTCTTGTGGGGAATCTTCCTGTGATATCAAAGCCAGTAGCTAGTGGTTTTCCTTTGGGTGTCTTTTTTAAGAGAACACTATCACGTAACATCTGGGACCAGAAAGAAATCTCTGTGGTATATATTTTATAGATCTTTTCTTTTGGATTTTCTTTTTCCTCTAAGAGAAAAGCCTTTAACATAAAAAATATTAGTCAATTGTCTAGAAGTGCTAGATTCCACTCCTGTGTGAGCCCATTTAAACATTTCCCTGAAAAGTTAAATCATTTATTTTCCAATTAAATATAATTTTGAAGTGCACTGCTTAAAATTTTGATACATTCAAGCCATGAAATGAGTTTTTCAATACATGTGATATTTAAGGAAGTCCCAACCTACATTGCTAAGGTACTTAGTAGAGCTAATTGTGACTAATCACTTTAACCTAAAGAAATAGGATTGGTAATAAAACCCCCAAATCATACCTTAATCACTTTGGAGTTGCAATCGGCCTTTACATCTATCTATATAAAGCTGTGCTTAATATTTAAGTCATTTCTGAAACAATACAGTACAGCCTCTGATCTTGAAAAGTACTGGACAGGAGGATTTGGAGACCTTGTGTTGCCCAGAGGTGGTAGGTATCAAGATAAATTATTCTAGGCAATGTGAAATACTGACTAATATGCTTACAAGGCCCTTTTAGAAAATAAGTTAACCAAATTTCAGTCAACATATTTAACCTCAGAAAAAATATTGAAATAAAAAGTAAAAAGCAGATTAGAAGGGCAGAAAGACTCTCTCCCCCCACTTCCCTCCCAACCCTCCCCACCCTTTGAAAGCTCTTGCTCTCTTGAAGTAGCACGTTCCAGCAAGTGCTTGGAATCTGGTCTCGGTGAAGCTAGGAGCATTGCACCAGCAGGGCGTTCCCCGTTGGAGACTGCTGGCTGCTTGGAACCTGCAGACACCTGGCGTGGTTCTTAAGGGCCCTAGAGACTTCTGTCTTGGACCTGTGGGCTCTAGGGTTGAAGGCAAAGGCTGTGAGCAGTCAGAAGGATTTCCTGTGTGTCAGCAACTTCACTTTGCCGGATAGCTGGCGGAAGAGCGAAGGAGCGCTCACGGGCCAATCGCTCCCCAGCAGCCAGGCGGACCAAGCGCCCCCTCACCCTCCGCGCCTCTGGGAGCAGAGGAGGGGCAGAGGCTGAGCGTTCCCGGTCACCGTGAAGATCTCCATAGAAGACTCCTCTGGCTCCAGGCGGACGCTCTGAAAAGCCCCGGCGGGCAGCCGGGCTGGCTCCGCCGAGGCACGCCCCTAGCCTCCTGGGAGCCCGGACTCACCCGGGTGCCCAAACTCCGCCCATCCTCGCGGGGAGCCGCCTGTCCCCAGCACTCCCCCGAGCAGAGCTTTGAGGAGGGGCCCTGAGCTGCGCTGAGGGTGAACACTCCGCGATCCAGAGGCGCGCGGGTCTGCAGTAACGCGCGCTCTGATGGCCCCCAGAGGCTGAGCAAGCGCAGGGACTGAGAAGGAAGCCTCGCGGGCCCCCTGAAATGAGCTGCTTGCTCGCAAGGTAGGGAGAAAGAAGATGCCCAAACGAAGTTGATCTTTGGGGAAAGAAGGCTGGGGAGTGCCTTCCCCATGCCGGAACGCAGTACTGCGAGTTGGGCTCTACCTCCTCGCTGAACCCCCAGCACGGTCTCCGCTCTCCTGTGAGGACCCACGAACCCTCGGGAAAGCACAGTCGGAAAGTTGTCGGTGGCGGTGTCCTGTGCGCCCGGTTGTGTAACCTCGGCACTGACCAGCCGGACGGGGAAGTTGCTGGCCCGGCAGCCAGCCCGGCTTGGTCGCGGCCGCGGGCGGATTTCATGGCCCGTGGCGAACGCGGGGCTGGAGCCGGTGTGGGTGAGCCCGTGTGTGCCCCCTCCGGTGCGGATCCCAGGCGCCCGCTCCCTCGCTTTTTCGATGCTCGGTGCGCCCCTCGCCGCTGCCGCCCTCTCGCTGCTACTTGCCCCTAGGAGCCGCCGTGTAAGTCGGGGAAGGAGAGAATGACCGAGGTGCGGTGGCCGGCTGTCCCCAACGGGACGGACGCTACCTTCCTGGCTGGCCAGGGTTTGCCCTGGGGGAACAGCACCGCAGCCTCCACCGCTGCTGTCGCAGCAGCCTCGTTCGCATGCTCGCTGACCAAGACGGGCTTCCAGTTCTACTACCTGCCGGCTGTCTACATCTTGGTGTTCATTATCGGCTTCTTGGGCAACAGCGTGGCGATCTGGATGTTCGTCTTCCACATGAAGCCGTGGAGCGGCATCTCCGTGTACATGTTCAACTTGGCCCTGGCCGACTTCTTGTACGTGCTGACTCTGCCCGCCCTCATCTTCTACTACTTCAATAAGACGGACTGGATCTTTGGGGATGCCATGTGCAAGCTGCAGAGGTTCATCTTCCATGTGAACCTCTATGGCAGCATCCTGTTCCTAACCTGCATCAGCGCGCACCGGTACAGCGGCGTGGTGTACCCGCTCAAGTCTCTGGGCCGGCTCAAGAAGAAGAACGCAGTCTATATCAGCGTGCTGGTGTGGCTCATCGTGGTGGTGGGCATCTCCCCCATCCTCTTCTACTCAGGCACCCAGGTCCGGAAAAACAAAACCATCACCTGCTACGACACCACCTCCGACGAGTACCTGCGGAGTTATTTCATCTACAGCATGTGCACAACCGTGGCCATGTTCTGTGTCCCCTTGGTATTGATTCTGGGCTGTTACGGATTAATTGTGAGGGCTTTGATCTACAACGATCTGGACAACTCTCCTCTGAGGAGGAAATCCATTTACCTGGTGATTATTGTACTGACTGTCTTTGCTGTCTCTTACATCCCTTTCCATGTGATGAAAACAATGAATTTGAGGGCCCGGCTGGATTTTCAGACCCCAGAAATGTGTGCTTTCAATGACAGGGTTTATGCCACTTATCAGGTGACAAGAGGTCTAGCAAGTCTCAACAGTTGTGTGGACCCCATTCTCTATTTCTTGGCAGGAGATACTTTCAGGAGGAGACTCTCCAGAGCCACTAGGAAAGCTTCCAGAAGAAGTGAGGCAAATTTGCAGTCCAAGAGTGAAGACATGACCCTCAATATTTTATCTGAATTCAAGCAGAATGGAGATACAAGCTTGTGAGGATGCAAGAATCACCGAACACTCACTTTTGTAACATGGTAGGATGCTTAATAGAGCCAAGTGCTTTTTTCCCCTTTAAGTTTCTAGTAAGCTTAGAGAAAACTAAGTCCAAGAAAATAGTGAGTTTAAAAAAAATGAAAACACCCACCCCCTACATTTGGCTCGTTTGGGTTCCCTTTCAGGGCCTCCCTTTCTAAATAGAAGTGTGTAAAATAAAATTATCCTATCCTACTTAAACATTTACTTTCTCATCTGCCTTTAAAATTTACAAGCTTTTCTGTTTAAAGTGCACTTGAGTACTAGAGCTATTTTGATATTAATAATTTATCCAAGGAAACTTTGAGTTTTCAGTGATCTATGGTAGGAACAGACTCCACATTCTCAAAGTATAGCAAAAATACTAAACTCCATTCCTTCAATATCAGGTGAAGAGATCTCAGCTCCATGTCTCTTTTGGTCCTAGAAGCATAGGTTGTAGCAGGCTGTTTCTTTAGAGAATTGAATAGAAAAGTTAAACCAATGAATTTAAAAACCTAGAAAGTGATTATTACCCAGTTAGTTCTAGAAAACTTAGGTGCTAGATATTTGGTGGTGGAATTCTGCATATATTATCTTACAGGCAAATTGCATTTGGAACAATCAAAGTTCATGTACTTTCCTTATAAACACTGTGAACTCTTAGACTTCCTGTGGTGAAGAACATTTACTTGCACCATGGCTGTGCACTGCCTTAGGAGTCTGTGTTGCAGTACAAATGCTCACTGATAGCTGTGAAAACAATGTAAAAAATCAGATATATTACAGACCAGGGTCGAAGAATGTTGGCCAAGAGGATGATATTATCAGAGGGAGAACGGTTAATAGTCCTTCATCATGCATAGGCTGCAAACATATTTTCAAATGTATGAGGCAACTAGGAGTGGGGAAAAGATGGGGCTTTTTTGTTTGTTTTTGTTTTTAGAGAAGACAATTTTAGAATAAAGACTTTAAAATGGTATAAAGGCTCTCTTTTGCCTCTTCAAAATGTTGGAAAACATTAAATGCAATATGAAAAAAAGGCAACAGACTTTGTACAGGTTGTGTTGATAGAATGAAAAACTATAATCCTATAATGGATCTTATATCCTCACATTTAAAAGAAAAAAAGCTGCAAATATATGGGAATGGGAAATACAGAGAATTAAATTTATGTGGTATATAAGGTACCACAGCACTAAAAAGTTGTGGAGATTACAAATCTGACTGCTAATAGTTTAAGAGAAGACTACTGGTCAGTTCTTTTTTTTTTCCCCCCCTCTGCCAGGCAGTAATGAAAACTTTGCTAAATATTTTAGTAACTTTAATAAGAGTTTTAAATGAATATTGAATTTCAATGAATAATATTGACTATTGCATTTCTAGCCATTGAAATGGTCAAATTCTAAGGATGTAGAATAATAAGGTAAGGAACACAATTTTTAACTCCTAATAAATACAGTATCAAAGGAATTTTTGTCAAAACTAGCCTCAAAAAAGCCAACATTAGAGTTTGCAACTGTTGGTGGGATAACTTGTTGGAAAGCACTTTGTAAGTAAAGCAATTTGGAGTCTGTCTTAAGGCAAGAACACCTCTGGGACACAGCGACAGGACAGTCAGGACTTAAGCAGCTCCTGTGGTACCTGGGTGGCCTGTGGATGTTTCTTCTTAGACTTGCTTCAGTTTATCCAGTCTTTGGCCCCTAAAATCAATGAAGAAAAGCAGTGTTAAGCCTTCCTAAAAGTGATTTTTTTTATATGTTTGGGTTAATGCACAGAATTATAGGAGCCAAATCAAAAAGAAACCAGTTAGATGTCTTATCTACACCACCTCGTTTTGAGGAAAGACATTAGTTAAGGTTCTCACTTAGTTAGGGTCCTCTATAGCATTCATTGTCTGTGTGGAATCCTAAAAAGAAAACTATAAAATATGTCATTACTGTACGATCCTTGTCAAACATCATGCTCAGTGACATAAGATTAATATCACTACATTAACCAAAATGGAAATTCAAAGCCTGTACCTTCCTTGAACTCATAAGCTAATGGTATACATTTTTATAATATTTCCTCACCATTCACTTTAGTTTTCTCTTCCTTTTAGGTCTCAGGATGCCTGCCTGGTTTACCATACATGTTACATACATTGTGTTTCAGCTCCCAGAGAACTTTCTTTTGGACTGTGGATCCAGTGAAGTGGACAGTGCCCAGAAATGCCCTTTTACTTCTTGGCATGTTTTTTTCCAGTGTTTCTTCTTCATACATCATGTTGTGGACAATTACAACGTGTGAATACATGCCAAATAGTAACAAGAATGATCTTGCCCAACCCCTTCTAGGCACAAAGAGGTCTCCAGGAAAAGTTTGTGCTAATGGTAAAAACACACAGAGAGTCAAGATGAAGCAGTGATCTATTGGCTGGAAATCTGATGACATGTGATGATGTAAGTAGGTATTTTAATAGTAAAGGCAGAAATCTGTTGGCATTTTGATGAAAAAACTGCTAAAATTATAGAATTTATCAGTTAACTAAATTTCACACTACAAAATGATTCTCATGCCAAGTTTAAGGTATTTTTGGCTCACCAATTGGTGTCTTTGACTCTTTAAACATCACTATGCATTTGCATGGAAATGATATAAACACAAACCAAGAAGAGATACAGCAGAGGTTAGGATTCAGCATTAAAAACACGACCTTGCCACTTGGCCAACTGTGGAACTCTGACTCTTTCAACACCATTCTCCATGTATTAAAAAGGTTAGATGACCTCCATCTGTTGGGACCTCAGGGGATGTGGTAGAACATTAAAACTACAGCCAGCCAGAGGTGCATGAAATCTGCTACTGTACTTTCCAGGACTCTTCCATTGCAGTCCTGGGCTAGAAATTCTTACAAAGTTCACCAATTATGATTTGGATCTATGACCTATAAGTTTTCTCAATCTACTCGGACAGTACAGTAAACTGCTTTTGAATACAAGAGATGTCTGTGCTTACAGCGGCTGGAATTGGACTAGGGAAAATGAAGATATGTACGTAGTTAGGGATCTCCTGAAGCTTTAACTTAGCTGGTCATTTTATAACTAACATAATCGTATTTATTGACGAAGCTCACAATTCTTCAGTTGTACAGATTAAAAGGCTTTCTTGAAAGATCAAATATGCTGATGTAAATTATATTTATTACAATGTATAATATGTCACACTAGTGTATTTTATGTAATGTGATGCGTAGATAAAATGAGTTATTGTATATTTTGCTTTTCAAATACCAGTATCTTGAAATGTTTGAAGATTTTTTTGATCTAAAATATGAATGTTTTGTGATACAAGTGGTTAATTTTCTCTAGAAGTGCTTTTGCATGTTTACCTTTTTACTTAGGGTTCTCTATATAGACACACTGTGGTGTCAAACTATCATAAGCTCAATAGTAAATACAAAATGTCTTTGCCAGACTAGGTCTGTGTTGTCTATATTTTATATGACGTAGAAAAGTTTATATTGTCTTTTCAAGACCTTTAGAATTGTGCCCCCAAATATGGTTGAAACTTCCAATTCCAATGCGAAAGGTTGTCCTAAATTCAAATTAGATCCCTTACATTTTAGAAGTCTGGAGGGATGGGCATAATAGATAGATTAGAATTTGAGGAAAAACAAGGGGGGATGGGGGAGAGAGAAAAGAGGCAGCTGATAAAATCCCTTACTGTCCTCAGTTCTGCTTACATTTTTGTGTTGTGTTTCTTCTTAAGGTGAAAGAACACAATCTTGAGTTCTTTGAGATGTAGTTTCTAAGTAACACGCTACCAGCAAGTTCAACACTGCTATTTTAATGTTCTTGTTGTTTAGTTGGTAACTTTAACTTCAAGTTTTATAGTGATAACTGTAAATGATTTGGCTGCTGAACTCTGTTACAATTTTTATTATGTCGTACATTGTATTATACACATCATTACAAATTAATATGAAGGGGAATACATGTTACATATCAAAATTTGTGACTTTGACTTCTAGTATGTTTAGTGTTTTTGCAAAAATGTTTATTTTTGTATTATCTGTGATTTTAATATAGTTGAACTAGATTTCTTTGTGATTAACAGTTTCATTGAATGAGCAGTATGGAAACAGTGTTACTTGACATTTTGAGCCTTCTCAGGTTTATCTAAATCATTGGTAGCTTAACAAATTCCAGACTTATTGTATATAATTGTTTTTAATAAAAGGAATGTGTATTTCCTCTAAGTTTGCATGCAGGAGTGTATAATATCGTGTGTTTGTATGTGTGTGTGTCCAAGGCATGTGGCCAATTTACTATCTATTTATAATAGGAGAGCTTTGATATGATCATGATCATCAGAATTGTACCTACTATAGACAATTAAAACTGAAAAAGTCTCAATAAAACTATGAAATGTGATCTGATGGCTTCTATGTTATTATAGTGTTAATACTCAGAAGTTTCGCCAAATTTTGACACATACTATTCTGGGTGGCATAGTATGTATTTCTTAAGGTGTGGCCTAGACTGTAAAAAGGGAAGTGTTAAAGAATTCTGGTGCAAGATAATTTATAATATCACTATTTGAGAAAAATACAGGATCATTATGTATTTTCATACTAGTGTTTAAATGGTAGCTGTAATCTTCTCCTCTAATTTTTATCCATGGAGGTAATCATACTAATAATAATCCTTTGTGGTTTCTGTTTACCCATTAGCCTGCATTGCCTGCTTCTTTCAAGTTTATTAAAAAGTAAATATCTGGTCCTGTGTAGTGAAAAAGTATATAATGGAATGGAAGCATATTTACAGCATTATCTTTTTTTTTTCCTTAGTGGAGAAGGTAGGTGCATAATGGTCCTGTGTTGGGTTTTCTGGTTGTCCGCTGAGACACGTGCCCTGTCACAGAATCCTGGGGATAGAAAAGTGTAAATAGCTTGCAGCCCTTATGATGTATGTCACTCAGTTTTAATTCCTTACTTAGCTATACTATCCAAACTTCCTTCATAGGAATCTTCCTTTATTAACATCAACATGGTAGAGTTTTGTGGGTGTGTATATATGTATGTTTATTTAGTGCACACACAGAAATATGGATAGTCATTTTTCTGATTTAAGAATTTACCATACAGCTTGGAGAATGTTTTGATTTTCAAAATCACTTTGGGATTAGAGTCAGAGAAACTTTTCTCTCTGCAAGTAAATATACTGCTTTTAAATTCTATTTTAATGAACTGGAAAGCTTATACTCTTTTCAGAATGTTTATAATTTTGCCCCCAGATATGGTCAGAGTTTCCAGTTCCACGTGTAAAAAGCTTGTCCTGAATTAAAAGTAGATCTGTTACAGTTTAGAAGTCTGATGGGATGGGGCATTAAAAACACAACAGATGTCACTAGAAATCCATGTTTAATACTGTGCTTACTTGTTTTAACCCTGTAAGGTTATACTGCTTTGGGGTGGACCCTGGGGACGGACATCTCCAACCAGCATTGTTGCTGGGACCGATCTGTGGATGGAGTCAGGCTCCTGGGCTGAGCAGCTGACAGTACTGCAGCCCCTTAAAAATAGACCCAGATAAGGAGGTAAGGCGATAGGAGGTAAGTGGGGGCAGTCAGTCCTGCACATGGGGAGCAATGCACTGCTTTTCCTGATTACCTGATGAGGAAAAATAACCAGCGTCAAGGTGGGAAATCCTTGAAGATAGATTGAAACACAGGCCATGGAAATGATCCGATTTAATCTTATCACCGTGGTTTGCTGGTGAGAGCAAAGTTTTCTATTCAAAAATGGAGCCAGCAAAGAACTCAGGTTTCTCACTCCTACTAAAACATTCCTTCCACATTGCAGGACTCTTCAAACTATAGATCTTGACCCATTAGTGGGTTATGAGCACAAAACAAAATAGATCAGACTCCTTAACTCAGTAAGGCTTTGTGATTTTTCATTTCAGAAATACACATGCACATGCTTATACTCATGCACATAACACATTACTTACATGTCTACTGTGACCCAGGACACAAGTACATTTGATTTCCTTGGAATCATTTGATTTTTCTCTGAGGACCTGGCCAAAAAAGATAAACTATACTATTCAGTACAAGGTGGTGCGGGGTTACAGGAATAGGGGATGAGAGATGTTTTTCAAAACAACTTTTAAATAAAGAGGTATTCATTTTCAATTTTGTTATATGCATCTTCTTTAATGTTTTTTAAGATTACATTTGTCTAAGACTGATGAATCACAGACCTGTACCTCTGAAACAAATAATATATTATATGTTAAAAAAAAAGATAGGAAGGGAAAAATGAAGGGGGGGATATCGGAGGGGGAGATGAACTATGAGAGACTATGGACTCTGAGAAACAAACTGAGGGTTCTAGAGGGGGGGGTGGGGGATGGGTTAGCCTGGTGATGGGTATTAAGGAGGGCACGTATTGAATGGAGCACTGGGTGTTAAACGCAAACAATGAATCAAAAACTAATGATGTAATGTATGGTGATTAACAACATAATAAAATAAAAAAAATTACATTTGGAATTCCCAAAGAAACGGTATTTAGCGTACATCTAAGAATAGCTATTTGCAGTTATAGAGACTATAATTGAAACTTCTATTTATATAAATTCTGAAGCTTAGCTCTTCATACTATTCCTGCTGCTGCTAACAGTTAATAGTAAAAGAGCAAATGTCCACCGTGTTTAAGAGCATCAGCTTTGTAGTCAAAATACCTTAGGTTTGAACCAACTTTTACCACTTATTAGTTGTGTACCCTGGGCAGTTGCTTGCACCCTCAACTATAAATTGAGCCTAATTGCAGCTCAGAGATGTTGGGGTAATTAGAAATAGAAATTTGCAATAGATTTGAAATAGAAAATGCAAAGCACTTCCCACAAAATATATACTCAGTAAATGGCAGGCTTTTTGAGGCTGTTAAGGACTTTGCCACTCCATGTGCTGTTTTGTTACTATTTGTTTCTATTATTATTAATCTTCTTTCATGCCATGAAGGCTTTGTGGCTCTCCTAGAAATTCTTGTTTTGAAACTGAGTGCATACGATATTTTCTTTTGGACGCTCCACTGAATTGCTGAGGTCAGATAATAAGCAAGTATTCAACCTTTTGATGCTTTGCACTGTGATACACACTGTGTGGGACAAAGAGATGTAAATCAAAATGTGTGCAGCTAAAAATATATCAACAAGAAGAGTGTGCTGACCTCCTTAGCTGAGCCTCACCTCTCAGGTTCACAGTCTATTTTCAGTTGCCACAGTCCAAAGTCTGATCTTCAGTTCTGCATATACAGAAACTTGATCTCAACAGTTCAGCTAGAGTTCACCAACTCTGGGACACTGACTCACACCAAGCAAACTGTGATAAGAGAATCATTTACCAACTAGATGCCAGTTTATGAATATACAGGGGCTGTATCCCAGTCACAATAATAGACATCTGCCTTTTTCTTCAATCTAATTATAAATCAGAAAGTTGCCTACAGAGCGTAGCATAAGAACACAGAGAGGTAATATTCTTTAACAGCATTTCCAGTAAGATAGACGAGCTGAAAGTATTGCCTATCCCTGAAGATGCTGGGTGTAATGATCAGCATCCATCCTGTACGTGGAAAAATTCTGCCTCCTTGAAATACCTTAGCACATGGACTGAAAATTTCACATTTGCTATTTTCTTTTAAAATCAGTCGCCATCATTATTACTTCTTTTCTTGCAAAATGTGTTTTAGTAATGTCTCCCTGTGGTGGTGGTAGTATTTAAGACTGCAGTGCTTGCTAAGTTGGAGATACTCAAAAGATACCCAGTTGGAAGGGTAGAGTATGTTATTACAAATGCCATTCCAGAGTTCAGGACAAAGTTGTAGCAAGCGATAGAATTTTGGGAATTGTCCGTTTACAAATGTCAGTTGGGGTAAGGGGTAAACCATGGGCAATACCAACACTGGGATAGACAGAGAATACTGAGCAGGAAGATTTGGAGTCGTAGAAGATCCAGGACAGCCTCCTGAAGAAATCCATCTCAGAAGAGAGTTTCAGTGAAGAGGTAAGTCTGTGTCATTTGTTACAGAAATGACCATCAAGAGTCTGTTACATTTAGAGGTTAGAAATGATTGGTATTTGAGAGAATTTTAAATTCATAAAAATAGTAATTATTACTGTATCACTAAATTGTTTTGGTGAAGAGGTTGAGGAAAATAAGTTAGTAGTTTGAGGAGAAGACACATTAGAGACAGAAAAAGGTATAAAGAGACTGCATGAGAATTCCAAGGGAAACAAGGCCCATGGAGAAATTGGGGAAGATGGTTGACCTCAAAAGGACAAAGGGAAAGGGGGGGTCTATGGAAGGAGTAGCTGTGGGTTTTGAAGTTGAATGGCAGTAAAGGCCATCATAGTAGAGGAGAGCCTTCACTGTGAGGGTAGGGCATTGGATGGGTCACTGACAGGAAGATTATAGGACAAAAAGAATACAGGGACAGATATGAAGGTTGGTGGATGAAAGTGAAGAGGAAGAGGGCAACTAGCAAGACCTAGTTACTATGACTCTCAAAAGGAGTTGGCCAGGCAGTGGAAGGATAATATCAAAAGCAGTGGGGATCTAGGAGAATACCTATCCCTTCTCTTAAGGATAATAATATAAAAGTAGCTTCTAGGGGGAAAAGAATGAGGGAAATGTTTTACTGGGTAGTTGTTAGCAGCTTTTGGTAAGAGAAGACTGAGTGTGCAGAAGCTTCCTTTAGAAGGAATTGTGTCTCCAGAATACACAGCATAAAAGGGGTGAGATGTATGGTCAACAGAGGGTGGAAGTGGGAGGAGGGGGGAATGAACTGGAGGAGAATAATTTTGTGACAAACTTGTACCAAGGAGGTCATCCTAGATCATGAGGATAAAGGAGACAAGTTGCAGAAAGATGTCAGAGTGGAAATAACCAATATTTCATTAGGAATTTTGGCAATATGTTTTTCCACATTCTAGACAGATTGTTCAGATTGATGGAACTGGGAAAAAGGAACTAGATTAGCTTGAAGTAGTGATCGAGAGCTTGTGCTGTGTTTTAAAACACGGCTGCAAATTCATTGCCATTTTCTCCAAGAATCGGGATCTCTGGTTCTTCTCCTTGATCTGAGAGGGTTTGTGATTGTTTTGACCAACAGAATATGGTAGAAGTGGTACACTATGACTTCTAAGGATAAGTTATAAAAAGCTATGTAGTTTCCATCTTGTTTGGAATATTTTCTCTTGGAGCTCAAAGGTACTGTGCAAGAAGCTAACTACCTTGAGGCCACAAGGCCCTGAAAAGAGGCGTTAGTGGTGTGTGTGAGACAGGGAGAGTGGCAGGTGGTGGAGAGAGTGCACACATGCAAGCCAAAGTGCCTCTATCCATTCAAATCCTACCAGCCCACACA